AGATATGCTCTCCTACATTTCGTAAGTCCAGTTTGCAAATTACCCTATAACTGAATTAAAATTTCAATACAAATAGAAATAATACGTTATAAGAAAGTTATAATGGCCTTAAAGCTAACCATTAACATTTAAGCCATGTACGTAATAGTTTCCCCGTATTGGAGGCATCGCAACCGTGAACATTCTTACAATCAAATCCTTTAAAAAACCTTGTGAAGTATTCACAAAGAGTTTTTCAATCTACATATATGTTAAAGTGTACAATGCTCTCATTATTAGGAGAATTTGATCGGCTAACCGCGTCCAAGCAGGCGAGCCACTAACATTCCTTACACGCAACACAGTATATGGTATGATACGATGTCATGGCCCCCAAGAAGTCATTCAATCTTATTTCGTTGAAGACGATAATTACAATGCAATGACTGCCACTGGTATTCCGTACCAGACGATTACTCAAAGATTTTTCTTCCCCTGCTATTGGCGTTACTGCATATTTCTGGCTCCAACAAGATTTTTTTCAACGACTAGCCGGTCAGAGCGTGTTCCCTGCATGTGCGGGCACTGTGGTGATCAGGGAACGTTATTGGAAGAGTGTGGTGAAGAAAAGAAAAAATGAAGATATCACTTACGGCATGAAAGACAATCGCTGGCAGGTTGCTTCAAACGCGGACAGTATGGTGGAAAAACGAGTCGCGGTAGTTTGTTGTACGATATACAGGTATCTCTAGAAGAAGTGGGGAAAACGTGTAGATGTGTTGTAGTATTTAGTTGGCGGAAAAATCTCGTTTATCTCCATAGCACACGTGCCATGAATACACCTGCATATAAACGCAGCACAGCCCTCGTTACGTGGACACTGAAGGGTATCAAGAGCTCTGAACATATTTTCTTGGCCAATGAGTGCCTGAGCCTTTCGGTCGAGCACCTCCAGGGAAAGTCTGGAGAGTCTCGCACGCACATGCGAGTTATACTCTAATTTTGGCCTGCTATAGGTGGTGTAACCGTTATGAATATCGACTACAGTGAAGCATTTTTTGCATCGTTTCGAGACGTCGAGCGCAATGTCTTGTCCAACGGGCATCGTTTTCAGAACATCAAGGGTTGCCAATTCTTCTGTATTTACACCACCAAAGAAGATGACTTGTTCATCGCTTTTCCTATGGGTTAGGATAAGGTTTTGGGTTTTTCTGGCGTTAGAGTTTACCCTATTTATCCGACCCCATGCACATATTTTTATAACGTCCCGACGTCATTTATCCGGCAGCGTTTATTCTGCAAGATGACAAAAATTGTTTGAAATATTTTTGCCTTGACTTTAATCCTCAAGCTATTACATTTGAATCCAAATGGTGAGAGATGCGCAATAAACTTCAAACAATACAGCAAATCAAGCAGAACATCAAAGCGAGAATTTGGATGAAGTTATGGTGAAAGCTTAGGTAAATATGGTGAAATATCGATATGAGGCCCAAGTTATTGATAAAAATCCTGCCTACATAAAGTCGGTTATATCAATGCTGTACCAGCTTTTCATTGAAGCCGTTTTGAAGCCACGTAAGATTTTCGGTTTTTTTCTCGAATTTTAAGAGAGAGCGCCAAAGACGCTTATAGGCCTAGATTGCAGATAAGTTAGAAGAAATGATTTGCTATTTTTTTTTACATTCCCGAGCAGCCTACTGGCATGATCTTTGTGTATGAAAAACTTCTCTGAATTTGGACAATTCGTCTTAACCTAAGCGTAAAGTTAAAGTTATCTCATTTGTTTTATTTTTTGGGTATCTCTTCTATGGTTGAATTGAACGTTTTTGAGAAAACAAAAAGTACACGCATCAATTTGTTTATTTCAACCTGCTGCTGATATACGTTTACACACAATTACTTTTTTCTTTTTATTGACATAAACAATAATAATGACACAGTAACCAACGTCTAGTTATTAGCGAAAAAAAAAAAAAGAAAAAAAAAAACTATATAACTAAAGTTGTGAAAAAATTAATTATGCCATCGTATTATATTACGGTAGGTTTGTGAAATCTAAGCAGATATGATCACACGCATACACATACATACGCTTCGTCATAAAATGATTGTTTTACATCATACGCAACCACCACATATTGATTTCGAATTGAACCACAACCACAATAACAATGAATGAATAACATTACAAAGAATTTCTTATTAATTACACTGAAAAAATATTAATATAAACACATTATACTGACTGCATTACACACTTGCAATAATTAAACGATTAAAGCGTTGACTTGAAAAATGTTATAATAATCGCTTGTAATTATAAAACTTTCAATGATAATAGCATGTAATCGCCTTCGAGTGAAATTTTATTTGTCAAATTTTTATGGACCTAATAATAGTCTCATAAAAAAAACGAAATTTTATGGCAATTTTCTTGAGAATTTATCATAAAATCTATTAAAAAAAATATTTAAGAAAATTCATTGACAAGTAAACTTTTCTAGAGAAGCTTATGCTTAAGTTGGCACCGAAACTGCCGAGAAAACATGTAAAGGAATTGCGAAAAAAGTTATTAAACATAACGGACACAGAAAGCAGTCAAACGATATTTTTTTCACAGAGAGAGAGAGCACAGTGAGAACAATGAAAAGATGTTATATTGGGTTTGGATCGCATACTTTGAAACGACAAACGACATTTCTTTTTGTTCATTGTGGGGCAGGTTCATGGTCCGATCCAATTGATTGTCATACTTGGCAAAAAATTCTAAAAATCTTTACTTAAAAATATGATAATATTATCGATTTTTTTTTGGACTTGACTTCGAGGGATAGTATTCTTGATTGCCACACTTAGTTTTAACAGAAGAGTTGTCTTCCCAATTATGATCATCACTTCAACAGCTTCACAGACAAGCCAGACATAGTTTACCTATCCACGCAATCAAGAGTATAGATAAGAAACCCAAGAATAATTAAATAAATAAAAGCAAGTAACAGAATTACATTTGATTGTAGGCAAATTTCCTACATCTACCATCCTTATCTTAAAAGAGAATCCACAAGTTGTTTTCGTTGTAGTAAGAGTGAGATAAGAAGGATAAGCCTTTTATAAAAACAAACCTGTTCTCAGTTCATATGACACTGCGGGTGTTTCCTTCAATCGATCTCATTACCTTTCTAGTACTACCGAGCGTGCAAGGACTTTCAGCCTTGTGGTGGCTACAGCACACACACACATGGGATATTTCCTTTGAGAATAATGCAAATATTTCCTTTGATTATCTTTCGATTTGATATGATTACTAACGAAGATACGGTCAACATGTTCTAACCATTCCCTTTTCCTCTTCTTTCACTACCTAAGTCCGTCTAGGAAATACAAGATGAAAAATCACAGTTGTACACCGATGTCACGTGTGCATGAAAGTGTGCAATCAAAAATATCTGCTGTCTCCCGTTCCAACACCTGAACCGCTAGTCGCAGTTGTTAGACCAATCCTCTCTTATATACAGAAAAAGCTTTTTTCTAGTCCTTCATTATCGATCGATATAATTGCTCGTGATCAGTCATGTAATCTTGTGTTCCGGCGCTTCTCCTAAATTTCTCCTATTCTTCTCAATTCATGAATTAGTTCGTATCGAAGGCTATCCTAACAACAGTCCAAACTACGCTCTTTGCAGCATCCGAACGAACAGATTATGGATTTAGCAATTGTGCCCGTGTATCCATTCTCTACGCAACCGGATATTGTGAAAACTTTCGGTTCCTATTCGCCATTCCTCGGGACTGGATATGCAAAGAGTAGTTTCGATGCCCACGAAAAACCATTAATTCAGATAAAGGGTCTGACACGAGGACTAATAGTAATAGTAATACATTCTTAACTTTAAAGCAATCGAGCCCCGATACCGTAAGTTCGTTAAAATAAAGCTTAATATTAGTTTGGGGAAAAAGAAATCCATTATTTTTTCGGTAGATGGCTGCACTGATAGATTTCTCGTAAAGTATCGATCAAACAATTTCAGATTTATGCTCGTTGGAAAGGTGACATTTCGCAGTAAAAAAAATTCTTTTGCTGTTTTTTGTTTGGTGCATTCAGTTGTGAGTTACAGCGTGTTAAAAATGGAAGTGAACAAAGAGAAAATTCGGTACATTTTACAGTTTTTCTTTGACAAAGGCGAAAATGCAAGCCAGGGGGCTAAAATTGTGAATGGTGTTTATGGTTCCGATAATGTAACAGCCAATTATGTGCAATTTTGGTTTCGTAGATTCCGTTCCGTTCCGTATAAAAATAATGGATTTCTTTTTCCCCAAACTAATATATTTTGTTCGTGAACACTTCTGCTCCAAGTAATCTTCGAAATAAAACAATTTGTGGTTAAATTTTTATTATGCTTCTACATCAGCGATCAAAAGAACATTCACCCATGGAAGACATGAAATATTGCTTAAGGTGTCGTGGGGAATAGTCCATCAATCGTGCACATATACACTCTCTGTTAGAAAGATTCTATTTCGAAAGAGAAAAAAATATTGGAAGCCTTTAAGCTGTGTTCATCAATGTTCCAATGCATTGTACAACGTGCAGCGTGGAAGCTATTGTAGCAATATTCGTGCTCTGTCTACCTTGGATTACCCGGCCACTTCTGTTATTTATAGCATTTCTATAGAGTCGAATAAAAGAATTACTCTCTGCTGCCTAAATTACTGACTAGACATTTAAATTTCTCCCTCTCACACATTTCTAGACCTTTCTTCGCACAACCTAAAGAAAAAAAATCGCTTTTCTAATAAACGTATTCACCTGTATTAGATATTCTAAGAAACATTAAGCCCAATAATGGAGTCAAATTTATATGAATTTGATCTCGTCTTAAAGCTTAAGTTTCTTAAGAAATCCTAATACATAATTTTATTTCTTTCAAATATCGTTGTAAGATGAATGTTTGAATAAATGGCGAATCATGTCGTTTTCTGCGATGTGTTGTTCTTGTTACTCGCTTATAGACATGAATTTATAGTTTGGGTACTGCTGGCGAGTCATCTTTCTTGGGTTGCATTTCTCGTTTTATACGCGACGCGCGTTCAGCGGCAGCATTTGCTTCTTTAGTCATTTTGCAGATATTGTATAGCTTTGCCAAACTTTTTAACGTGACCACTATTGCAGGATGTTGTTCGCCATAATTGTTTAGCCTTATGATTAGAGCCTCATTTAATAGCCGAAGTGCTTCTTTAAAATTGCCCAAATCTTTATGCATGAAGGCCAAAATTGTAAGCAGTGTTGCCACATTGGTACGTCGATGGAAGCTAATGGTTTTTTCTTTTCCATCGCTTGGCTGATTAACGCTATCGTCTCTGTATTCCAATACAAGATCATGTAACTTCTCCAGACGTTTTGAGATAACTCTGGCCGAGCTTTCATCAATTTTACTTTCATTATTTTCTATAGCCTTCTCGGCCGATTCCTCCTGTTGCATTGATTGTAAATACTTCTCTTCTTGTTTCAATCTTTCAACATATTGCACAGTTTTGCAAAAGGCTTTATTATGAAGAGAATTTGCGCTTTTCGGTTCAATTTTGTCCGCAATTTTTTTCAACTGCTGAAAATGATCCTCGCTCGCCTTAAGTGACAATTGCAATTGTTTATTTTCTGCATCGACAGGTTTCATATCGTGCGCAGACATACTCATAGACTTGTTGACCAATGTCTTATCCAAATCTTCATTTTGTGTTGCGCTTATGGTTTGCTCGGCCCTCTCACTTTCATTATTATTGCCCATTTCGACATGAAGATGACCCATTAGATGTTTTATAATCTGTCGTTCGTCCATATCCATTTTAAGAAGATCTAAGAAAATTTTCTCCAATGTTTTCGATTCCTTAGTTTCAGGCAATTCATTTTGATTGGATGAAGAGGGCGAATTTTCATTTTCCTGATTTTCGCTATTTCGCAAAATAGATGTTTTTTCACTAATTACTTGACTTTTCGCCATTTTTTTATATATATTTTTTTACAATTTTATTTATTTCTTTATTTTACCAAAAACTATAGAAAAATTCTATTTACCGAGAGATGTTCACATACGAAAATTTTAAACGACAATGGCATTTTCTATTTCGTTTCCCCATTATATCATTATTTTATGTCACAGTAAACTTGTTCTTACCTGTCAAAGGACTGTTGTTTATAGGAATTACTTGAAATGCTTTATAGAAATTTATTGGAATTTTTTTTACAAATGTAAAGAACTCAAAGACGAAATTTTCATACGCTTAAGAAATTCTATAATAAACAAAAGTTTCTATTCCTCTTTAATTTCGTTGATATCAATTGCTTTCGCTTAATAATCGGCTTTAATCGATACTAATTTGTTCTCTCTCTCTCTCTCTCTCTCTCTCTCTCTCTCTCTCTCTCTCTCTCT